TTTATTTTCAGAATTATTTAAAGGGATTGATTGTTCTTCTTTTTATTGTGAAAGTTGCATTTTTGCAAAATTTCATCGCTCTACTTATTTGCCAAAACCTTACCAGGCTTCCAAACCTTTTTATTTGATTCATAGTGATGTTTGGGGCCCTTCTAAAATCACTACTCTTTCTGGTAAAAGATGGTTTGTTACATTTATTGATGACCATACCCGCTTATGTTGGATTTATTTGATGAATAAAAAATCTGACGTGAAAAATTTATTCACAAATTTTTACAATATGATTGAATGGGTTATAATGATGTTTGTAATATCTCCTATATAAGGAGTGTCATTTGGTCTTGTAAAATAAGAAGTTTTGAATATAACAGAAATATATTCCTTCTTCCTCATATTTTCGGAGTTCTTCTTCCTCATATTTTCTAAGTGATAGTCATGCCATTAAGGAAGCCAAGAAACTCCTCCACGCCTTCTGCTTCCCAATCTTGAAGAGGTATGCTAAAAATAGGCTGTCTCAAACCATTTTAGACCTATATAAGCTCAAATAATCCACAACCAACACATTTATATTCTAATTTAATACCTAACCTATAAAATTTGTCTTCAATAAAGCAGAATTTGATTACACATAATTCCAATTGGTCCCAAGCAAATTCTGCTTGAAGCCAACACATTTCCAAAATTTGCTGCATCTTTAATTTTGCTTTTTCTTGATCTTGTTATGGTCCATATCAATTAAAGCCCCTAGGGTATGAACATGGTGAGGTGCATCATCTATTATGCACATTAGCATTCCAATTTTTAAATGCAAATCACTTAGTCAAATTTTCCCAAATTCAAAGCATATTGCGCTAACCATATTGTAAGAGCAAACCAAACATACCACACAAAGAAAGATCAAGCAAATAGCTTTTTGTTGTAATTTGTAGAACATAAGATTACGGATAAAGAAGAAGAGTAAAAGACATTGAAGGCTATTATGGTTCTCTCCCTTGTAACTATTATTTATACTTAAATGAAGCATACTACAAAAATACCCCTTGTATTAAAAATAAAAACATTCCAGCACTCCCCTTCAAGCTAGTGCAAAAAAATCAGGCGTGCCTAACTCTGTAAGGATATTACGAAACACTCCACTCGATACTCCCTTTGTTAAGATGTTAGCAAGTTGATCTTCATTCTTTACATAATTTAACTTCTCATCGATAAAGTGCTTATTAATATCAATATGCTTAGCCTGATCATACTGAATTGGAAGGATATATATATATATATATATATATTTGGGTGAATAGGATATTCATGTTGTGTGTGCACGTTTTTCATGTCCTAAAGTGACCAAGACTTTAGAGCTTAAGGTTGAATCAACGTTTGTTGTGGCACGTAAGGAAGAACTTGTTGAATCAGTAACCGTGTAAAATGTTGATCTAGTCATTGATTCTATTGCTGATGAGAATTCAATTGAGTCTATTGTATCCTCCATTCCAGAGTCTGTCCTATCTTCATCTCATTACGAGCCTGATGAAATTGTCATATCCTCTGCATTTTTGGAGTCTATTGCTCCTATCTCCTTGCTTGATGTTGAGAGTTACTCTGACATTATTTCTAATCAATCATCTCATAAGTCTGTTAATCTCGTCTCTTTGCTTGATTTTAATAGTTTCCTTGAGGATATTTATTATCATTTTAAGCATAAGGGCTTTGCTAGTACCCCTTTGCACCATAGTTGTTCTCCAAGTATTTCACGTTGACATTTAATGGACAAGTTTGTTCTATTCTGGATTATGGATCAAGTGCATGTTTTACTAATTTACCATTGAATTTAAATATTTGTTCAATGTTACATGTACAGGATATGTTACTCAATTGAGGCACTTTGAAGCCTCTTGTTTTTTTTGATGGTTTCTCTACTGGAGTTGCTACATTTTCACCACCAACACCTGTTCTAGCTGCTTTGTCTTGGTCATTTTGTGTTTATTTGATTATTGATCCTATAGAGTCAAGACATCATTTTCTTACATTGGGCTTCTCAATATAGTCTTGTTCAGGAAGTATTCACCATTCAGATGCTATCATGGTTGAGGAAATGTTTCGCCAATGTGAGCTTCATCTGTTGGAGTGCTTTTATTATTACAACTCCCTGAGGGATATGTTTTTTCGCCGATGAGAAATGATAGGGAATGACAAGGCTGTGGATGAAGCCAATTGAATTAGAGTTTTAGTTTATTTAGGTTTTTATAATTATTTAGGAGTTTTTTGATTTCATTTCATTAGGATTTTAGTTCCATTTTTATGTTTCTTTAATTTTTCTTTATTTTCTTATTGGATAATGCTTTTAGGCCCATATATATAGGTGGATGTGTATTGAACTATTACATATTTGATATTGGCAATTTGGCATATTATTGAATTTGAGAATTTCAATATACCTCTTTCTCGTCTATAGATTTGTTTCTTTTCTTTTTCGTCTTCTCGTTTCTTCTTCACCTTCTTTCTCCTATTGGTGCTGTATCAAGGTGTCATCCTCCCTTTCCTACACCACGAGTCATCTTCTTTAATTAATCAAGGTCATTAGCTTAATTAACTATGTTATGATTAATTAATCACAGTTACCTAGCTAATCTTGATTAGGCTTAATTAATCATTGTTTCTTTTATTAATCGCAATTGGTTTTTCACATAGTTGACAACACAATAGTCATTAATCCAAATTGATTAAGCACCTTGGTTTGCCATTCAAACGTCATTAAGCCATAGTAACTAGACTCTATTCAACTGCCCCTAAAACTAAATGTCTCTGCACAAGCATACAAGTGGTGTGGTCTCTTCTTACATTTTCATACAGGAGACTTATCTCAACATGAGGGATAGTGCAGAAGCTCAAGTTATACAATTACAAAACATTTTCATGTTATTTTCATCTATTTGTATGAGGCATTTCCATACAATATCAATACATCATATACTCTTAGCAAAATATCAATACATCAGACTTAAGTAAAACATATTCATACGAAAAAATTCATTACTTCAAGATAGCATCATATCACCTTAGCAAGTAAGAAATAAGGCTTTCTTGTTTAAGTGCACTCAATGCAAGCATAATATAGAGTGCAAAGCAGTATCTGGGTTATCACAGTTAGAGTCTCCAGTTGTTTTAGGGTTGCTTTGTTTTGGGGCATGGGTTAAATTGAATCTGAGAATATTTTCATATTTGCTGATCTGGTTTTTATCTCTTTAAGAATCAAGTTACTCTTGAACTACATGCATTATGATAATTCTATTTTCATTTTTGCAGATACTCAGTTCTTTTTTTTAATTGGTATATCTGAATTCATATAATTACAGGTCGAGGCACACCCATTCGACGGGGATTAGGAGGCATATCAATGCTAAAGTGGTCTCCCACTGGAGATTATTTTTTCGCAGCGAAGTTGTACTGTCATTTACTCGCCTGATTCAGATTTTGTATGCTTGCTGTTAATCTTAATCAATCTAAATCTGAGGTGATGATCTTGTTCTGTTACAGTGATGGGACATTTTATCTTTGGGAGACAAACACATGGACATCAGAACCTTGGTCCTCAACCAGTGGCTTTGTCACGGTTAGTAAAATGATAATTCTGTTTGTGCAATTGACCTGTACTTACGTGATTATCAGATCATATGAGATATCTATAGTTAGCAATCATATATTTCTTTATCTGAGTTTCTTGGTGATATTATTCACTTAGATTGACAAATTTAGGTGTTTGTAGCTTTCACAGATTGATTAATGTTTCTTTGTGATATATTTATTATTATGACTGCATGGATTTAGAGATACGCTGTGGAGAGAAATTTTTGTAGATCAACATGGTGTGTTGTATTCCAAGAGATCAGCAGTCTCTTTTTGTGCAGTTTTCAGAGTCTCTTTTTCTACTATGTGTGTGCATGTGTGTATATATATATATATATTTTATGGGGGTGAGGGTTGAGACGTACTAGCTACGCATGTTATGCTAAGTATGTTTTGCCCCCTCCCTTCCCCCTTTTTCTTTTATGTTGCAGTTGACCAGTTTCAAGCTCGGAGAAAGGATTGTTGTAGTTTAGATGACAGATGTAGAACTTGTAGCCACAACTCTTGAAGATTGGTTATATTTTCTAGCAGGTGCATTCATTTTCATTGCCTTGTGTCTAACCAATGATAGTGCACTACAAGCAAGGTTGTTAAAATAAAGTGTAAAATTATCAATAATAATATATGTTTTAAATAATTTTAATAAATAATAAATTTGATATAATGCATATTTATGCTAAGATAAATTGTTAGTGTTTACTAATAATGTATAATTGATAAAATGGTCACAATTATTCCATTTAGATGAAAACCAAGTTTTCAATTCTTCCTCCAAACCATTTTGTTCAAACAAAAAATTGAATTCACTGACTTTGATTTTAGGGCGAAACAAATTTTTTAAATTTCTCTCAAAATATTTTAATTCAAATAATTTTGAAGAAATCTTTTTCTATAAATAAAGAGAAGCTGTCACATTCTCTTCAAGTTCCCAAAATGAAATTTGTTATAAGAGAAGACACTTGAAGGTGAATTTTTTTGTCAAAATTTGATCTACACACACATACATATATAGAAAAAATAAATAATAAGAAAAAAATTGGTAGAAAGAATCAGAATCGTAGCTGGACCGGGATCATATTATGATTATACATGATTTTGTGATTAAGATCATAGTTATTCTAAGATTCTACAAGATTTTAGATCCTAGTGCAATCAGGATTGTTCGGCCAAATTGAGATGGTAGAATCGTAAAATCCTGTGATCTGGATTCGGATTCTTATAACCATGACTAGAAGTGGTAAATGAAAAAAAACATGCACATTATCTACCCCAAGTAGTGGGGATTAAAGATTTTTGAGTTATGGAGTTTGGGTGATGCATAAATTCTAGAGAAGTTTTAAGACATCTAAAAATGTGTTATGTATTCTATTGGCTGAAAACAGTTATTGGAATTTACGATATGTGAGGTTTTATGATTCATTGTGGGAAGTTGAGGGGTCGTCTTCTAGTTCTTGGAGAAGTTAGTTCTGTGAATTTCTAGGAGGAATGTAGTGGAATTGATATTGTGGAAACTGAAACTTAAGTTGAATGTTGCAGCCTTCTGAAGTTACTTTGACGTATGATTTGGTATCTCTGGCCCTTTGGTTTTGATATAGGTCAAGAATGTTAGAAGTAACAAAGGCTGATTCAAATTTGGTTTGTTAATTGGCGAAAACAATCCAGACAGAGAACTAGTAGAAAACATTATTTGATAGTTGGTTTTTAGGCCTTTTGAATTCTGATGCTTTCTGCAGCCATGCAGGGAAGTTGAACAATATTTATTTCTATTTGTCAACATTGAATATCTTATTTAGCTATAGGATAGAAGGTAGAATCATTTTGTTATCCAGCTAAAAAGATCTGATGGAGCTTCTATACTTTTGAAGTTAAATATATTTATTTTGATAAGAATAGATGGATATATATCATGAGAATTTGATATGACATTCTCTATGGGTTGCTAGTTATTTTAATGAAGTTGTCTCAAATGTCATTTATTGCCTACTTGGTGTTACAGTTTCATGAGTAATATTTTGGTGGCACCATTTCTTAAATAATGGTTTGTATGCTAGTGACGTTCAACAAAATTATCTGGTTTACTCACTCAACTTTTGAATAGTGTAAATAACTTGTCAAATGAGTTTCAAGGTTGAATTGCTTTTCTCTAGTACCGTGTTAATTCCTTCCAATTATAACAGAAGCAACTACTTTCGGTTTAGAAAACAGATTCATTCGTGATGCTCATGGAATGCAATTTCCAGATTTTTTTTTTAAAATTACCTATGCTAATTTCTTCATATCAATATATGCAAGACTTGATGCAGCAAGTAATTACATCTCTTGGCCAATACAAGAAGTAAATGAATAATAAGAATCCTTGAGCATACATTATCACGGATACATTGTAATCAAAAGCATACAATGTTCAATTTATAATCAGAGATAGTATATCTCATTTGAAATAAGTCAGCTCATCTTCTCTTCATAACAAAATGGGCAAACACGAAAATCCCCACGTGGTGAATCAAACCACATAAAGTGGTAGAGAATGTCTCCTCATCTCATCGTAAGTAAAACCGGCGTGTTTCAAGACTGTCAATTCAATGGGAGAACTCCATGATTCTTCTTCAATTTCTTGAAATTAGGGTTTTCCTTCAATCGGAATGAGCATAACAAGCTCAGTCATGGAGTTTAAGCCGATTTTCTACCAAATTGCACTTGGTAATCAAGCTATTGACATATTAAAAAGAAAGAAACAAGTTGCAAATAAGAATTCTTACTTCAATTGGCTAACACATGCAAGTTTCTCTTGATCCTTCTCTTTCTTTTCTTGAATGTTCCTTCACTCTCTTATCTTTTTCTCTCCACACACTATCTACAGGACAAGGACTTCAAGTTCCTCCCTTCCTTTGTTTTTAATAAGCCATTATAGATCTATAGACATGTATGTATAAATAGAGCACATGCCAATGCACAAAATTGTAGAGAAAGCGAGGATGAGGCGTCTCTTCCCCCCTCTTTTTGCCAAATGGGCCATATACTCACTAATCAATACCATTAACCACTAAATACTCATGGTTAAGTTAATTAATCTCACTTTTGTTAATCATGTTGTTCTTAATCGAGGTTGCCTTTATTAATCGTATGACATTAATTATTAACCGTGGTCATTATTCATACAAAGCTCAAGACATAACAAGCATTAATATAGGTCAATTAAGTATTTTGATTAAGAAATTGAAGATCATGAAGTCATTTAAACACTATAATTACAATGTCTCAATGAAGCATGTGAACAATTCTATTTCAATTCCATTCTCACATCAAAGACAACTCTTTAAGAGTAGTTCATAGGTAAAGACACTAAGAGCATCTCCAGTAGTGTAGTATTAGGTGTAGCAATGCTAAACTAGCATTGTAGCGAACAAGCAACTCCAACAGTGTAGTATATATTGTGCTAAAATAGCAGTGTCATTTCCCATGCCAAATTTGGCACATGATACACTGCTATTTTATACTACACTTGACTAGTTGACTTTTTTCAAAAAAATTACATCTAGGGCTTTATTAATGCAGTTTAATATAGCACCGATTACAACTATGTCATGTGAAGATAAATTAAATGTAATTCCTAACATGATGAGAGAGCGAGAGTCAGAAAAAGGGAGAGTCAGAAGGTATAGTGATCGTGTGCTTGATCTGAAGATTGAGCAGAAGGTTATTATTGTTCAGGTGGATGAGAGATCACATGGGGAGGTAGTGGAAATCATAGAAAGGAATAGGCATCGCAGTTTCACATTGAAACTTGATCTGGGAGGGGTTTTTTGGGCATCACAAGTTCTCAAAGATGCCGGAAACATGAGTACCATGAGGCAGTTCTTCAGAAAGTATACGAATAGTTCGGCTGTGTTTTGTCTTCAGTGTTATTCAAATAGGAGAGGTGAGTTTGTGGAGCTATCCAAGTGGGTTGCAGGGATTAGGACATCAAATATTATCATCCCAGCAGGAGTCAATCGAAAGGGGTGGAAGGATGTGGCTTCGTTGCTGGAAACAATCCTATTTGGAGCAAGGCAGAACAACTGCACTAGAGATGTAGATGGCAAGAAGGTAGGCAATGAGATAAGAAAGGAGGCCAAAGCAAAGGATCCTTGCAATGATGTTCGATTGAATGGGGCCGACAAGGGGGATGACACAGAGGAAAAGAGTTAGCAAGTGAAAACAGGGGCAAATAGAGGATGGTCGTATGCGGAGGTTCTCAAGCTTCCATCAGTGAGTTTGTTAAGAGATGGTCCTTCGCTAGTACTTCGTCAGGCGGTGGTGTGTGAGAGGGCAGATTTCTTTATTGGGTGGGAGCAAATTGAGAAGGAATTATGTAAGTCTTACAAGGTATCTATTAAGGCCAAGTTTGGCATGAGACAAAAAAGACAAAAAGTCAAAAAGTCACTATCCTATTTAAGTCACATCATCTTATTTAAGTCACATCACCTCTCTAACACATCACTTCAAACCCAACCCAAACCCAACTCATATTTCATAAAAAGTCAAAAAGTACACTTATTTAGTCTTCCCAAACTAGGCCTAAGTTGCGTCCATTTTAGTTGAATCGAGCTCTGTTCTTCACCAAGACCGAGGATATGGCTGCTTTCTATGGGGGTAAAGGGTGGCAGTTTTTTGGAATGGGTATTGCGGTATTGTTGGAAAGGTGGTCAGAAGAGAAGCATAGGAGATCGAATGTGATTGCTTCGTACGGTGGCTGGATTGCTATTTGTGATTTGCCATTTAATCTATGGAATATCAGTATCTTTGAGCAAATTTGGAGGAAATGTGGAGGGCTTCTAGAAGTGGATAACAGAACAAAGAATTTTGAAAATCTGTTTGAGGTGAGGTTGAAGGTGAGAGGATCGGATTCTGGGTTTCTACCTTCAACCATGGAGATCTCGACGGATCATGGAGCCATCACGGTGCGAGTAAAAGGGATTTCGAAGTCTTTCAGTCGAAAGGAGGGTC